CCCCAGCTACTCAGGAGGCGGAGGAGGATGATTGTAGTCTAAGGCTGAAAAATTAACGTAGACAACAACTATGGTTGTGTCTCAAGTGGTAAATTGCCTACCTAGCAAACACCAAGTGCTGCATTCAAACCCAAGTACCAAGTAATAGAAAATGACTATGATGAAAGTATATTATATCCGTGTATGAAAATAGCACATTATGTCCCATTGTAGAACTACTTTAATTGTCAGACTTCCTCCAGGGCTTGGAGTCACCTGTGAAGTCTCTGGCCTCTCAGCATGGTTGTTGGTGACCTTCCTCCTGTGACCTGAGCTCCCCTCAGGCTGCTCTTTAGAGGTAGCAGGTGTTACACAGTAGGTGGGAGATGGATTCTTCCAGACAGGGAGGTTGAAGCTGGCAGCCAGGCCACACCAGCCCTGACCACGCTTCTTCCACTGATCCTCCTGGGCCTTGAGCCCTGGACAGGCATGTGGGAGTTGTCCTCTCCGGGACCCTTTCTGTGGCATCTTCGTGCACCATTTCATTCTTAGGTCGGCATGTGTGGCCACAGGAACGAGTGTAGTAGACCAACCAAAGCCTGTGCAAGGTGGTTTCTGTTCCACACACAGCCTCAACACCCAGGTGTCTAGGAGGACAGCAGTGGAGGCCAGAGCCAGGTAGATCCAGAGGAGAGGGGCACAGCATGGGGGTGGGGGTGGTGGAGGTGGTGAAGTCTTGGTGTGGCAGGACAGGGAAGGAGGGATGGGGGGATTGGGATGCGTCTGCCTTTGGGTACCTAAGAAGGACAAAGGGCCTGAGGGTCTGAAGACTGCAAACCAGAAGACTCCCTGCTATTGAGCCACTCTGCGTAGGCTGACTTGCTTAGGCCTGGCCAGAACTAGGCATTTTCAGGCCCTCATGGAACAGAGGAGCGGCGCTCAGGGGTCCCAGTCTAAGAGAGGTGGGGGAGGCTCTCAGGGGAAGGAAGGCCTCCAGGTGTGAGCAGCAGTGCAGTGGACACTGTGTCCCCATGGTGGTAGTGGCTGGCAGCTGAACCTCAACTATCTGTCACCTCTACCCCATGGAGAGAACCCCACCTGAGTCTGTGGGACCCCACCCCTGACCATGGCAGTGCCTGCCTGGAGCCCAGGGGCCGAGGTGGTCAGCAGTGTATAAAACACAGGCCCCCGAGGCTCAACCAGTGCGATGTGCGCTGTTCCCAGGGCCTCAGCCCTTGACTGCATTAAAAGAAAACAAAAGAAGACGGCTCAGCCTTTTGAGCAGGTGATCTGGATCCCAAGGAGGGAGGACACAGATGTTCTCAAAATATGGACCATGAATCCCACCTGAGCCTCCAAATCTGCCTCTCTCCAGGACCATGCGAGCACCAGGACCCCAGGTGCCTCCCAGGCCCAGATAAATCACCTCTCCACACTGCTGCTGGTGGGATTGCACACCACAGGAGGCAGCGTTGACCTGTCCCATGAGCATGGAGTGCGGGCCACGCCTGGCCCCTCAGGCTCATCCATCAGCAGTCAGATGGATGACTTGCACAAGGTCAGAATGCAACTCTGAGGGTGGCTCCCAGGCTGCCAGGCTCTGCAACCTGTCTGGTGACTACCTTCTCATCAGGGACTAATTCAGCCCAAAAGCCCAGTGCCTCCATTTCCCCAGTGGAGGTATCAACATGTTCCATCCAAAAATGCCTGGAAACTGAGAACAAAGCAATGCAGGTTTGGAGACCAGCAAGGCTACAGGGGTCTCCAGAACATCTCACTTGTGGGAAGGAAGAAAAGAAAGCACATGGGAAGAGAAAGCAGAAATAGCCTGGCAGGCTTGGGGGTCAGCATGGAAGAGAGAGCAAGGATTAAGGGGAAGTTGAGGAAAAAGAGAAGTCAACCTCTGCACACAGTGATGGCAGCATGATACATTCTCACACATAATCCCATTTCCCTGTCCCCTCGTTAAGCTGACACCAGGCTCCTCCTGGGCACAGGTGGGCACAGACTCCCACAGAGCCAGCCTGTGAATCACCAAACCTCCACCCTCTCCTCTCATTTGTGTCAGAGTGTGCCATGGACTGGAAATGTGTGACTCGTTGCTGCTCTGAGTCTTCTTTGCCCCCAATCCAAGCTAGGTCCTGGGGACGACCTGGGGTCCCCACTGCTGGAGTTTCAGTATTCCAACGTTGGCATCCAGAGACTGTGCCATGCAGCCAGGCCAGAGCCGCAGCTCAGCAGAAGGCTAAAGTAGATCCCAAAGTCCAGAACCAAACCCATCCTGTGACACTTACAAGGTCTGGCAGGAGGGCACAAAGGTGCCCTCAGGGCAACGTGACACCCAGAGTCACTGAGTGAGTCATCTCTGCACCCGAGGAAGGTGGCAGCCAGTTGCAAGACAGCCTGGACACCTGAAAGCTGCAGGGT